CTCTGGGCCCGGTTGCTTTGGGCCTGGCCGCTCAGGGCCTGGCCGCTCCCAGCCTGGCAGCCGCTGCTCTGGGCCTGGCCGCACCAGACCCGGCTGCTCCAGGCCTGGCCGCTCCCAGCCTGGCAGCCGCTGCTCCAGGCCTGGCCGCTCCCAGCCTGGCAGCTGCTGCTCTGGGCCTGGCCGCTCCCAGCCTGGCAGCCGCTGCTCCAGGCCATCACTTTTCCTCTTTAAGCTCTGATTTTATTTATTTGGGTCATCTTTCCTTTTTATTGATGAGCCTAGTTAAAGTTTTATCAATTTTGTTTATTTTTTCAAAGAACCAGTTCTTGGTTTCATTGATCTTTTGCATTTTTTAGACTGTTTTTAAAAATTTCTGCTCTGTTCTTTATAATTTTTTCCTTCTACTCATGTTGGACTTTGCTTGTTTTTCTTTTATTTATTTGAGACTTTTATTGTTTCTTAAGGTAGGCCTGTACTGCCATGAATTTCCCTCTTAGGATTGCTTTCACTGTGTCCCATGTATATTTTGGTAGTTATTTTCATTTTCATTTGCCTCAAGGTATATTTTGATTTCTTCCTTGACCTCACTGTTAACCCAGTCTTTGTTTAGTAACATATAACTTAGCCTTCATGTGTTTGTGTTTTTCAGTTTTCTTCTTGAAATTGATTTCTAGTTTCATACCATCATGGTTGAAGAATATGCTTGACACAATTTCAGCCTTTTAAAATTTATTGAGACCTGGATTTTGGCCTAAGATGTTCATCCTGGAAAATATCCCATGTGCACTTGAAAATGATGTATATTTTGCTGGGTTGGGTGATATGGCCCACAGGAGATATGGCCCCTGTGGGCCATGTGGGAGGAGGGTTTAACACACAGGGACCATGACAGCAGTCCCTCTGCCCTTCACAGGTCTAAAGGGGGTGTAGATTTGGAATGCCTCATATAGTCTCTCATAGAAAACTGCTGGACTTTCATCAGGCATCTGAAAAATCTCAGAGATTTTAGCCATTGGGCTTCTTGGCTCTGGCCCTGACCCCATGGAGGAAGGCCAGCCAGTATCTTTCTAGCCCGGTCCTTCCGTCTTCTGAATTCGGGTTCCAATTGGGTTCCCCATTGGGGAAGGCCTCCCTGGCCCATCTGTCTGTGTCTAATATTCCTGCCGGGACCTGGGTTTGGAGCCACTTCCGAGCCTCTGTTACTACTCTCCTGTGCTCCTCAGTGTTAAAGAACGTGAAAAGGAGCTGCTCTCAGTCCACCCAGGTGGGCTTCTGGGTCTGGAAGATCGTTTCTAGGAGGTCTTTCATGGCCTGAGGTTTTCAGAATCAGCTGGGGTGTGATGTTTCCAATTCAAGATGTCACTGGGGGTAAAGGGCTGATAATAATAATAGACTGGCCCTCCCTCCTGCAATGTCCCATCTTTGCCAACTACTTTGGCACCGTGATTCTCCCTAAGAGGGATCTGACGTGCTGGTTGTCGCCTGGGCCCTTGATTGACTGAACGCAGGCGCCACCCATCTGGCCCTGGAGAGCCCGGCTGAGGAGAAACGGAAGGGGCGGTGCTTCTGGATCTTTCAGGCCAGCTGGGGAAGCCCTTGGTGCTCCTGTGGCACATATGGAGATGGCAAAACTAGCAGGACTTCCTCAGGGGATCCTGGCAGAACAAGGGGTTGGGTTCCCTTCTGAGAGACCTGCTTCTTTTTTCCTATTACTAAAGCCTTACAGAACCGGACCCAAGGCGGTAAGGTTTGAGTAACTCCCAACTAGCTGTCTGTGTAAGGGAACTGATCTGGGTGTCCGGGGTCTGCTGTGACTACATTCCAGACTGCCCTGACCAGTCCTACGCCTAAAGAGCCTTCCAGGAGCCAGCCGACCCCAAAGGCTGGCCATTCTAATTCACAGAATTTCCTTAGTGTTTTGGGGTTCATTTAAATATCATCATTCTCAATAAAACCCTTTTCAAAATTTTCCAACATGCAGTTGAGAACAGTGGGTTTACTTTGTCCCAATCCCAGGATGATCAGTGGCGAGAGACAGACGAGGATGCAGGGAAATTTACTAAAAGCCTGGAGGGTCTCCTTAAAGAAAAGATCCTTAATCAGCACAGGCAGGGGCAGGGTGGGTAAAATCTCTCTGCTCCTGAAAGTCCCAGTCCTATACAAAAGAGATATACCACTGAGGTACGACTCTGAGACAAAAGAGACAAAAAAAGCCGCAAATACCTTTAAATCTACCCCGGAATCCCAAATTTTCAACACAACACAGCAAAATCACAGAGCAGACCAAAGCCCCTAGTACACAAACATAGACAGGAATTTTTATCCACTGTCCCTCTGTGATGGAGAGCAACCATCTCTGAGAAAACTGACTCAACAGCGCTGCTTGAGGCTTCTGCAGACCATCACAGGTTCAGCCTTCAGTAAATCTAACGTTTTAACCAGAGGAGCAAACAGAAAACCAAAGTAGCTTTGACTTTCACACAGACCAGTTTATCAGCAGATAATTATACCAAGACAGACAAACATCCGTACTCACACTCTCTCAGTAGACTAGCCCAGACTGGAGCTGAGCAGATAATGTCCAACTCCCCAGATGGGCATGGGGCACTCCGGGCACCCGCGCCCCAGAAAAGAATTCTCCACCGGCTTCTCTGTGAGAACCTCCGGGAGGAGTTAAGCTGCGTCCAGCCCCCCTTCTCGGTTATAAATTGGCTAGTCCCACACAAACAAACAGAAGAGTGAGCCCATATTCCTTAATCGACTTTGAATTCACTCACCTCCGGAGCCCTGATTCCTGATTTACCTGAGGAAGTCCTATGACTTCTGGGGAGGTGCTCAAGCGCCCCTTTCACTCATTTGGAGTGGGCCTGACTGACTGGGGCCCCTAACTTACAGATTCTGTCGGCAGGTCCAGAGGTGTCCGTCCACTATTCCAGATGCCAGCTGGGTCCTGGGCTGAGGTCCGGACCTCTCTGCGTGCGCGCTCCTCCCCCTCCCCCGGCCCCCCACCGCCCCGTTCATTTCTGCTAAAATCCGCAGTGCACACCTTCCGGAGGCCTGTCCCGGGCCTCCGGACCCCGGGCCCCAAACCCTGTCTACTCACCGGAGGCAAGAGCCAAACGCGGTTAGCTTCTTCGTCAGCGAACCAAATGTTGCAGAAGACCAAAGAAATACCGAGCACGCTTCCTTGAGAAAGGGAGGGACCCGTTTATTAACACTAGTGGACTCCGGGAATAATTTCCAAATCAGAGTGAAGAAACATGCAGGGGGCTTCACTTCTTATAACCTTCTGGGGTCTTTGTCTTGCAGATATGGTTCCGCCCCCTTTCGTGGGCTTATAGGAAGGCCCCCAGGTGTTGGGGGTCCCCAGGCCGTATCCGAAGATCTGTCCTGGGGCCAGCGATAACGGCCCTCCTCTCCGCCCCTCCCCCCCAGGACAGTGCATTGTTCATTGTTTTTAAGGCCTGACATACCTTGCAAGACCAGTTTCCTCCTCAGAATCTTTAACATGTTAATCATAGTTATCTTAACTTTTCTGTCTGATAATTCCAAAATTTGGGTCATGTCTGAGTCTGGTTCTCTTGATTACTTTCTTTTAAATATATTTTTATTGATTTCAGAGAGGAAGGGAGAGAGAGAAAGAGATAGAAACATCGATGATGAGAGAGAATTATTGAACAGCTGCCCCCTGCATGCCCCCACTGGGGACTGAGCCCACAACCCAGGCCTGTGCCATTAACCAGAATCGAACCTGGGACCCTTCAGTCCACTGGCCAAGGCTCTATCCACTGAACCAACCTGGGGATCACTTCATTTCTTGATAGTTTGTTGTTTTTTCTTGCTTCTCTGTGTGTTTCATAATTTTTGGTAGAAAGTTGGACATCTTACTTAAGGCTGTATGTATCAATCAATAGTGTTTTCCTGGAATTGGGCATGCCCTGTTTTTACAGCCCTTTAATGTGGGGGTGATTCTTCAATCTAGTAAGGAATGACCACCTTCAGTGCATAACGGAGTTCAACATTTTCTAATGTTACTGTGTTCAGGGCAGGATTGGGTGGCCAGAGGGTTTTGCTCCATACTTCACTTGTACCTCAGCTTTAGGCTTGAGTCTGTACATGTATGTTGTTGTTATCTGACATTTGGTAATTGCTCATATGGTGCAGGGTTGGGGATGTGCTACGGCGGTTGGAGAGCATACTCTTCTGCCAGTTCAGTCTTAGTCTGAGACAGGTACTGTGCCCCAGAGTCTCAGTGATGGCGCCTTCTTAAGGACCCTGTGCCTCCCTAGTGGTAGAAGCCCTCTAACAATCCCGGCCCAGTACATTTTTCGCTCTGTCTTCTCTTTTATTTCCTCACGACACTGGGTGCCCTTGGAGTGACAGGTTTTCTGCCTTGTCCCCAGTGGTTGAGGCTTTTGCTGACAGAGCAAATGGGGCGGAGCATCTGGATGAGGCTTGAATTTTCCCATCATGCTGCCTCTTCCCTTCTCAGGCCTCCACCTAGAGAGGGAGCCTTTTTCTATCTTGCACCCCCCCCCCCTTCCCCTCAGTCCTTTTTGTGAAACTCTGGTGAGATCCGTGGCCCCCCTTGAGTACGCGGGGTCCTGTGTTTTCATGCTAGCCCCAAGCAGGCCGTTCATTACATTTTTAATGACTTCTCTTCACCAGCTTGTATGAAGCCTGGCACCTGCCCCAGGAAGCAATGTTTGCACCCCGTCTTTCTGAAGAGGCGCTGTCTTTCCTTATATTTCAGACCATTCGTTTGCCCAGTGACTTTAGTTCTCTGAGGGTTCTAGAAAGGTTAATATTTGAAGTTTATTCAGCTTTCCTTTGTTTTACAATCAGAGGCAACAACACTCCAGCTTTCTACATCTTTGAGAATGTTTTTATTTACTGCCTTTTTAAGGCCCAAGATTTGAGTTTTGCTGCTTCATTTGGGTACAGTTAAACTTTGATTCTCAAATGAGCTAGCATTAAAAGCATGGCTAATGTCCTTGCAGAAACTTGGGGACTGTGGCAGCCGTGGAGCCGGTGTAGCGCCACGTGTGGGGATGGTGTCAGAGAGCGTCGCCGCCTGTGCCTCACTTCCTTCCCCTCCAGACCTGGCTGCCCCGGAATGTCCTCGGAGACCTCCCGGTGTTCCCTGGAGGAGTGTGCCGGTAGGTATTCTTCTTCCTCTGGGAGTCCCTCCCAGGGAGCTTGTTGAGCCAACGCCCACCTGAAAATGACCAGTGTGAGCCCAGGAGTGACTCATAAATTCTCTATTTCTCTTGGCTGTCCTAACCCTGTATTCATTAGGGTGTCATTGACTGACAATAGCTTGCCAGTGAGATTACAGGGGACTTAACACTTCAGATGATAGGGAAATGACAAGTAACTTTGTCTAACTTAAAGATTCAGACATGAAATTATTTTTAAAAATATAAAAATGGGAGAGGTGTTCATTTCCCCCCAGGATTTTTTTGTTTTTACTTTTGTTTTATTTCTCGCTCCTTCTTCTCACCAAAATTAAAATGTTATTTCCCCCATTATCCCAAGGAAGCTCCAAGGGACCACACAGACCATTGTTTGTCAAAATGGGGAAGACTTATCCCCTAGAGGGCCCTGTGTTTATACTTACCGGCCCTACCCAGGAGGAGAACGTGGGGAGAGTTCTTGCCATCACTGAGAGATTGGCCTTCTCTTCACCCTCTACACATCTTGAAGGCTCAATAAGAATTTGATGAGAACTGATCGTAGATGTGATGGTCACGTGGCTCCATCAGGTTTGCTTTAGTTTATGGAACGGAATTCCATTCATTTACCACAGGTTACAGCAGTAAAGAGCCCTTGTTCTTCCTGTACGCCATTCCACCTTCTGAAGTCTAACCAGTTGCCCACTTAGTTGGCCAGCCTTTGCTCTGGTCCTGACTCTTAGATAAAATCCTCCTGTCAAGACCTGACCTTTCCCACTTTCCAATTTCAGGTGTGAAAACCATCTCTACATCATTGTCCTTTCTCATCTTGAGAAGTTAGGTGTTTTTCCGTGCTTGGATCTCAGGGTATCTTTTAGCCAAAACTACAGGCACCTGGCAACACCTCGGTCAGTGCCCAGGTCTGCGCTGGGTAGAAAGGTGGCAGGATTAAGTGTTCTCACTGCTTCTCATCCTACCCAGGGATTCTCACTTAGCAGCCCTGATACTGAGTCATTAAAGCATGAGTCAGCCAGTGCTGCCCCCTTGCTTCCATCAGGGTGACGTCCAGTGCTGCGTCCTTCTTCCCTTTATTCCAGTATCCTAAAGATGTTCTCACCTGTGTATTTTTTATATTACAGCTTCAGACCCAGGCTCTTTCCTAGCCCCGAGCTCTCCCCTCTTTTTTCATAAGCCTCGGGCCACACCCTGAGTGTGTTCTTGCTCCAGTTACTTCTCATACTGTTTTCTAAGGCTCTCTCTGTTTACTCTTTTCTTTATAAGTTTCCCTCCCTTCCCATAGTTTTTTCCTTCCGTATAACTTTCTTCAAATACATGTATTCCTTTGAATTCTGAAATGTCATGTGTGTTAACATATCCCATCTAGAGTTCATAATTCTCAAATGAATTTAAAGTTAATTGCCACTGGCTTTTACTGCACCTTGATCTTATTGGAGTGGCCATTTACTGACCATCTGCTATGTGCCATCACATTAAATAATCATCTCTAGAACAAAATAGATCCAGAGACATAGAAGCAGGAAACAAACTATGTAATCTCAGAGGGAAGGGGGGGGGGTGGTGCAAGAGAAGAAATTAACCGAAGAACTTATAAGCATAACCCATAGACACAAGAAAATAGTGTGTGTGGTGAAGGCCTGGGGAAGGGGGGTGTGGGCTAGATAGTGTCAATGGGAAGAAAAGGGGACATCTGTAGTAATAATTTCAGCAACAGCAGTAACAACAAATACATCATCTCACTTAAAGCTCTCAACTCTACAAGGTAAGGATAATTATATTGGGCTCAGATCTTGAGAGCGTACTGCCTACCAAGAATTTTCCTAAGTGCCTTGCACACATGAAGTAAGTACATTATTATCTTCACATACAAATAAGGACTTGGTGGCATAGAGAGTGTAAGTGACCTGCCCAAGGCCATCCAGCTGGAAATCAGGGACTAGGTCTGACTCCATACTAAGCTACCTATCTTGAATATATATACCGGCCAATGTAGCTTTCTAGAAACATCAACAACCTGAAATTAGCAATCACTTTTAAAAATATATATTTTTTTTATTGATTTTTTACAGAGAGGAAAGAAGGATAGAGAGTTAGAAACATCGATCAGCTGTCTCCTGCATACCCCCTACTGGGGATGTGCCTGCAACCAAGGTACATGCCCTTGACCGGAATCAAACTTGGGACCCCTCAGTCCACAGGTCGATACTCTAGCCACTGAGCCAAACCAGTTTTGGTAAATTAGCAATCATTTTTGAGGACATGTGGTGTTATTTCATGTTCTGGCATCTTAACTCTTTAATGAGTGGGAATTAAAAATTCGTACATTATAAATTAGCAAAAAGGGTAAGTGCTACAGGCATCCCTACTTCTTCTATAGGAGTCCTCAGATAAATGCTTATGTGGATAAATATGATCATTTCTTTCAAGTGTCCTCTGTCTCCTAATCAACCTATCTTCCGCTCCTATAGAGATCTGTTTGCAGGCTACTTAGCATCAGGAAATCTACATTTCAGGTGAAAGAGGAAAGACTAGATGAGGCAGAGATGGACGAGGCTGGTAGCTTTCAGGCTTTGCTCCTGCTGTGGCTTTGAAGGGACCCAGCCGTGTCACAGCTGACAGCTCAGTGAAGAGCCCTCACTTAGCTGCTCTCCTTGAGCTCAGCAGCCACCACAGGTGAAAGAAGTGATAAGTCAGGAAACAAGTCTTTCATTATTTGCCTACTTTCACTTGGTTGAGGATTGAGAGCTCTGTTTGGCTTTGAGAGGATGTTTTCATGCCAAGTTCTGAGTCTAGTTCTTTGTTAATTTGGTCCATCTTGCTCAACACAAGAGGAGGAGGATTTAATTGCCATTGCACCCACATTCCACAGGTGGATATTGGTCATTTTGCTGTTATCTTTTAAATAATGAATCGATTGATTAATTAATCTTTCATTTATTGAGTACCAATTATTATATTCAAGTTACTGTGACTGGGGGTGATAATATGTAGAGAAGACGTACCCCTGTCTGGAAGGGGCTTATAATAGGTTGCTCAGCAGATACTTAAACAGGCATAATATGTAGTACAATATGGGGCCTGCACTGACAAAGGTATCCACAGCATGCTTGGAAGCTCTCAGGGGTGATAACCATGGTGGGAACACCGCTGTTTGCAGAGGAGGTGATATTTGAGCTGAAGTTTGAGAGCTGGGAGGTGCTACCTAGGTGAACTTGGTGAGAGGGAGCTTTTAGCAAAGGGAGGAAAGCAAGCATGGAAAAAGATGGTCCAGTGAGACCCAGAGAACTGAAAATAACTTGAAGTGGCTAGAGGGCAGTGTGCCGGGAGGCAGTGGTAAAAACAAAGCTGGACAAGCTGACAGGAGCCAGATCCTGGGGCCTTAGTGGTTTGGACGTGTTTTAGAGGGATCTTTTCACCATAGTGCAGAGTACAAATTGGAGTGGGGAGGAGTGGCAGCAGCAAGGTCTGTTAAGAGTTTTCCAGTGACCCTGGTGGAAAATGAAGCACCAGCGTGGGGTTGCAGAGGAGGGAAGGATTCACAGACTCGGGGGTGGGGGGTGGGGGTGGTGGTGGTGGCAAATGACAGAGAGGGAAGCGCCAGGGTGAAACCCAGGATTCTCGTACTGGCCAGTGCATGGGCAGTGCCGCCATTCCCTTGACATCGGGTGTATTGCAGGAGGCGCAGGTTCTGGGGGAAGATGGTGGGTCTTGGGCATGTGGAGCTGACAGTGTTGGGGGGACATCTGTGGAGAGAGAAAAGCTAGTGGAGCCAGGATGGGACCTAGACCTCCCTGGCTCCGGAATTCATGTTTTTCTCTCCAAATTAGGTGAGTGAGTGTTATCATTGAAACCAAGAGGAGAAAAAGTCACAGAAGTGTCAAACAGTAGCAAGTGCTGCAGATTTCAAGAAATATCAAGAAGGAGCTCCTTTGAATTCAGCCATTCGGTCATTAATGACCTTGACAGAAGCCCCTTGCACCAGCGGCCCCAGCTGGTGGTCCGTGGGCCACTGGTGTTCTGTGAGGCCCAGAAGGTTGGCATCCTCAGGAGCTGGAGGTGATGACGTGGCGGTAGTAAGTCAGCAAAGGTGGACTCTGGGGCCTTGGCAGGGAGGACAAGGAACAAGCCGTGGCTGTGGCAGCAGTGAGAGGATTCTAGAGAAGTCTTTTTAAAGTGAGAATAGCTTGAGCATGTTTCTGTGGCACTGCAAGGAGGAGATGCTGGAGATAACTGATACAGAGGGGCAAGCCCCCGGGAGAAGGGTGGCCTAGAGAGCACTTGGTAGTACTTGTCTTTGTAGGAAGACGCTCTAATTCTGTAAAGAAAGAGGTAAACAGGGGTGCAGTGTCTGGTAAGTTTATGGCGGGGAGAGGATGGCAGAAGCAGCTGGGCGCACTTGCCTGATAGCTTGTGTTTTGTGTGTGACCTAGCAGACGGCCGAGGAAGAGGATTAGATAGGAGGACTGAGAAAGTGTTGAAACTCCGAAGCAGTGTTGCAGATGTTGGAAGAGAGTTGCTTAGGAATCCGTGGGAGGATTGGGAACTGTCAGCATGGGCCTGGCCGCAGTGGCTGGAATTCACATGTCTGAGTTTATCTAGGAATGGACTTTTACTGTAGAGCAGGACAAGGGGCATAACTCAATATTAGAGGTCAGAGCGTTGAGTTGTAGGGAGAGAAGAGAGACCAGGATGTGGCTGGAGATTGTGAGACAGGGAGGGGTTGCAGAATCAGAAGTTGCAGTGAGCTTGAACAGCCAGTGTAGTGACAGTGAGTGAGTGTGAGTGAGAGGGAAATACAGCCAGAAAGCGGGCTATGGAATTTAAGTTTTCAGAAGAGGAGCAACGGCAGGCAGTGGGGAGGCGTGATATGTCGGATGGACACTGAAGTCCCCTAGACGGTCCTAGCTTTGGGATGGTGAAGAAGATGGGGACCCACCCAGGTCCTAGCGACTGATGGCTGCCATGAGGTTGGGAGTTTATAGTATTTGGGGAGGAGCAGAGGAGTCATCTAAGTGGATGGCTTCTAATAAAAAGATTACAAGTTTTGTATGGAGGCGAACAAATTGGTTGACAGTGGCAATTGGAAGGAGAGGGAGGACACACCTGTTGCTGGCCCTGTTTGCTTATAAAGTTGGTGTCAAGCTTCCCCTCAGGAGGGCGGAGGAGAAGCTGTGCCCTCGGGTAAGGCCAGGAGGAGGAGGGAGTGTCGGTGGAAAGGTTCTGGATGCTGATGAGCTTGGTTGTCAGGTGTGCCAGGCACCAGAGGAGGGAGCAGGGAGCAGTGGGAGGACAGGTCCAGGGCTGGTGACAAAAAGGCTGGAAGGACTTGAATGGTGGACAGTGACCAAGGAGGACAGAGAGGTGAGGTCTGGTGGCATAAGTTGGTCTCAGGTTCCCAGATATCTCAGTGGCAGTTTAGGCTGCAGCTTCAGATGGCGTCTGAGTATTGGTGAAACATTTTGGTGACTGTGGAGCAAACCAGTTGGAGAGAGCAGGGAAGAAGAAGAGAAAAACCAATGCCACGCGGAAGGTAGGAATGGGAATGGAGAGCCATGTGAGAAAGAGGAGGCTTAACACTTAGGAAAGTCAGCTCCTGGGTATTAGAAAGGAAAACTGAGTGACATTGTCAACAGTCTTATTTTCATGTATGCATTTCTCTAACAACCTTCTTAAATTATTCTGCATTTTGAGTTTTATACTTGTATGAATTTCTTGATGTACACCTATCTCAAAGGTACACTTACCTATTGCTGTCCCATGTACCTTAAGTGGAAACTTTCCTCATGCTGCTGCTAAGTAGAAAATTTGAGGCAAGTGCCAGCAGGAGCTGTGAGCCCACGCCACCTGTATTGTGGCTTATCTGGTCACCTCACTTCTCTGGGTCTCCGCTTTTTAGTTTGGCTTAAGCTGCCAGCAGAAATACATAGTCAAGACACATTCTAGCCCTTGGTTAGTTTACTTTGTTCTTTAACTGCTACATCATTAGAGCAGGCCCCTCAGAGATCTTACAGCCATGCAGAGAAAGCAATTCCAGAGAGTACATTTGTCCTCCCCTCCTTTGTTCGCAGCGTTCCGGCCATCCAGCCCGTCCCCTCTTCAGCCCCAGGGCCCAGCGAAGTCCAACAACGTTGTGACGATCACCGGGATCTCCCTGTGCTTGTCCATCATCGCGGCCACCGTCCTCATCACGCTGTGGAGGAAGTTCGGCCGCCCCCCCAAGTGCGGCACCCCCGCCCGGCACAACTCCATCCACTCGCCCAGCTTCCGGAAGAACTCGGACGAGGAGAACATCTGCGAGCTGAGCGAGCAGCGCGGGAGCTTCTCGGATGCGGGTGACGGGCCCCCGGGCGGCCGCGGGGACCTGGGCATCCCGCTGGCCTACCGGCAGAGCGTGCCGGCGACCCCCGAGGACGAGGCCTCGGGCAGCGAGAGCTTGCAGTCCGGCGCCCAGAAGATCATCCCCCCGCTGTTCAGCTACCGGCTGGCCCAGCAGCAGCTGAAGGAGATGAAGAAGAGAGGCCTGACCGAGACCACCAAGGTGTACCACGTGTCTCAGAGCCCGCTCACCGACACGGCCATCGCCGCCGCCGCGCGGCCCGCAGACCTGCCCTTGGACCCAGAGGGCCCAGAAGAGGCTGCAGCAACCAAGTTCCGCATCAAATCCCCGTTCCTGGAGCAGCCCGCGGCCGGGGCCGGGGACAGGCCTCCCTCCCGGCTGGACGTGCCGGCCTCGCAGGCCAGCTGCACCATGAGCCCCAGCCAGACCCTCATCCGCAAGTCGCAGATGAGGCACGGGGGCAGCCGCGGGGGCCTGTCGGAGAGAAGCCACCCCAGGAGCCTTCATTTCAGGAGGACCGCCAGCTTCCACGAAACCAAGCAGGCCCGGCCGTTCAGGGAGAGGAGCATGTCCACGCTGACCCCGCGGCAGGCCCCGGCCTACAGTGCGCGGGCGCGGCCCTGGGACCAGGCAGAGGACAGGTGTCGACCTCCGAGTCGAGGTGCCGTGGTATTTCCAGAGAAACGGGACCATTTCCAAGGAGCAGGTGGGACCAGCACTCCACTAGGCTCTCTCCCTAAACCCTGCGCCTTCGGGCAGCCCCTGAGGAAGCCAGACCTAGGGTTTCGCCAGGCAGGATTGGTGGCGGGAGGTGAGAGAGCAGAGCCGCCCAGAGCTCGGAGGGGACCGTCCCCCAGTCAAAGGAGTGTCTCAAGGAAGCAGCCTTCACCCACTGCCCCCAAAGATAGCTACCACAGGGTGAGCCCTCTGAGCCCTCCTCCGTGTAGGAAAGACCGGTGTCAGAGCTTCCCGGCTCACCCCGAGTTCGCCTTTTATGACAACACGTCCTTCGGCCTCACCGAGGCTGAGCAGAGGATGCTAGACCTCCCTGGATATTTTGGGTCAAACGAAGAGGATGAGACCACAAGTACACTTAGTGTGGAGAAGCTGGTCATCTAGTCCAAGACCAGCCAGAGACTTCACACACCTGGTGTCCTTTGCCCAGCTCGTGTTGTCAGCTGCTCATCTTGTCCTGTGGGTTGCTTGGTGTAACTGTACAGTAGGACGGAATGTAGGCAGGAAGTAACCTGTATGTGTGTTGTTCTTGCATTCTAATTCATAAGAAAGAGGTTATTTATCCTGAGTTTTTCCCTTTGTTATCCTATTTCTATTGGTTTATTACTAATAACTACAATAATAAAATTTAAACAAGACTGAAATGGGGCTTGGACTTTTGTGTGGATATGAAATATGACAGAAGGTGATTTGTGAGTGGGAAATGCTGTGAACACTTCTTTGACAGTTTCCAACTTGAAACAAATTGAACAAAGCGAACTTGCTAATCCAACTCTGACTTCTAATTTATTGTTAGAAATACGTAAGAATGTGACATCTACAGGGGCATTATTGAACATGTTTAGCAAATTAAGTCAGTTCTGACTATTACGTAGTAGGCTGTCTAGTCATGGTAATACTGCGAGATATTCCAGAAGTTTCAGGCCAGAGTTGGGTAATATCTTACATGTTTTTGGATTTTTTTTTATTCAACCAAATAAATTTGGTGACTTGACACAAAATTATGAGTTAATTATGCTTTGGAGGAATAATATAAAAAGCCGATTGTTCAGGTACTGATTCAAATGAAGACCTACCCATACATCCATCATTGTTTTGAGCAAAAAGTAAACATTTTGGAAAGGGAGGTATTGTGTCCTGAGAGCATCAGCTGGAGCATGAGCAGTGGGTGCTGTCCACCGCCCAGCCTGCACCAGCGCGGTGCCAGGACCCCAGGGGCTGTCTGAAACTGGGTGTGTGTGTTTCTGAGATAACACTATCATATTAATCAGAAAGTATGTGAATTAATATCAGGTATATGGAAAGCAGGCGGACTAGATTATGCTCTTATGGCTTAGTCTTTTTTAATTGGAAGACAGAGTAAAGAGGGAAAGAGGAAAGTCTTTTAGAAATTTAGAATCACTTTTATTTTCTGATTAAACTGCCTGTCACATTTTACAGATGAAGAATTTGAGGCTCAAGGAGGGAAATTCACTTCTGCAGAGTTGGATGAATATGGACTCATTTTTACTCTAATCACCAAACTCTCTGCTCTGCCGTCGCAGCCTTTGAAAGTCTTCTCTAACAGTGGCAAGTTCAGGAGAAAGCTGGCCCTTTGGCAGTAGACACAGAGAGATGCCTTCACTAGTTTTTTCCAAAGAAAGGAAGCTTTCTGCGGCTCGATGTTAGAACTGGTTTTGCGTCTTGTTTGGAGGTGAGGGCTACACAAAACCTAAAGTTGGGCTCCTTCACTGGAAGTCACCGTCAGATACCGCGTGGGCCCTCTGCAATAGGCGTCTTCAGCAGAGCGATCTCAGCCTGGAACCTAAAGCCTTGTCTGCATACACTTGAGTAGCAGCACTTTCCTTATTGTTCCCCGTGACCTCTCCAGTGGCCGCACCCACCCTGCCATTCAGCCTGTTTTCCTTCTTCCTCTTCATGTTTATCAGGATGTCAGCCTGCTGGCAAGATTTTGAGGACGATTGGAGAGCGCTGAATTGATGGCACACACACACACACAATAAAAAATAAAAATAAAAATAATCACAAATGCAAATACTATATTTTTCAAAGTTTCTCTTCTGTTTGTTACATTAGTGCTTAATTTGTGCCATTATTATTGAAAATTAAAACATACTTCCTCTTGGCAATGCTTTAATAATAATTATCCACCTTTCAGGAACAGGAGGAGTAGATTATTCAGTGGTGTCTGACAGCTGGTATGTGCTGATACAGAAAAAAGGAAACCAAACTTTTTAATTTCCATTTTCTTTGTTTATCATACTAGAACGCTTTGTTCTCTTTCCAAGTTCACAGGTTTGTTGCCATCCTGTGAGGACAGAGGGTACATACTCATTTCAAACCTCACAGTGAATTTCTCTACAGTATCAGACCAAAATAGCCATAAGAATGTGAAGAGTCAAGAAAAACACTATGAACAGAAGAGTTTTCTGTTAAATTATGTTCTTCCCCAATATTTATCTAAGCTAATATCACAGTCACTTAATACCAGCATATATCACATTCACCATCTATCTAGTCCAGTGTTCTGTGCCTCTTACTAAGAGTCAGTCTCTACATTTCATAGTTAATTTGGCCTCACCTCTGAGAAACAGGAAAGAAGATGCTTCAGTGTTGTCTTTGGTGGATAAGTGCTAAACTTCATTAGGAGTAATCTTACATTCTGCACCACGTGTCCCTAAGTCCTAACCCCAGTGGCTGCCATTAGGTAGGAGCTCAGTGAAGATCTGTGGGACAAAAACTAGATATTCAAAAGCCCTCAAACTATATTTGTGGTTGAACTAGAATAATTCTAATACTTCAAATATTAAACCATTGTGAATAGGATGTGTTCCTATGTGATATTGTGGAATTTTAGTTTCTAGAAGCCCCTCATTGAAGGAGAAAGTATCTCTGGAGCCTATTATAGTGTCTGTACACAGTAGTCACTTAATAAGATTTGAATGTATATGAGAAAGTGGCATCCAAGTGAATGGTGCCCCTACCTTCCTAGTGAGTCTCTTCCATTTACTCCACTGCTCTGAAGTCTGCACCACCTCTTTGGGGCAATCGCTCCCCAATTGTGACTTCTAACGTGGATTTGGTAGTGCCTATAAGGTTCTTCTTCCTCCCAATTACTGGCATCTGTCGCAGAGACATCCCCAAGACATTGAGCCACCAATCAGTGCGTGCCAAAGTATCCTGGAGCCCACCCCTTCCTGTTCCGCCCTCGGTCCAACTCTCTCCTGTTCCTCCCCTTAAAAAGACCCCAGACCAGTCACGTGCTGCTTGTCCTCCATGTCTAGGCGGCAGCCGGGCTGGGTCCCCTGTCCCCTCCCCATTCTTTCAATTCTGATTTCTCTACCTCCGTAATGAGTCCCGCTCATTACTGGGGAATAAACTTTACTTTAAATGTCTTGGTGGTCAGTTTCCTGCACCTCAAACCTTACAGTGCCCAGAGCACTCAGTATGACAAGCCCTTGCCACGACTACCTGAATGCTAATCCAGCCCTTCCTATCAATTTTCTTTCCTCAAACTCTAGTACACTTTATCCTGACCCACAAATATAAAACTGCTGCTAATTTGATGATTTCTCATTTTGTTCTAAATATGTAACTTGTAAAGCAACATTGCACAGTTTTTATTCTGTGCAGTCTCTGAGTCATTTTCATATAGTATTATGGAAACTTATAGTATTATAATACTATAAATTTATACCAGCTGATCAGGTCATACCAGCTGAGTCATGATTTGGACAAAAATAAGTAGTTTGGCATAGTCAAAAGCATACAAGTTGAATCCTGGTCCTTCTCTTTCTATATGTGTGATCTTGGGCACTTCACTTAATCACATGAGCCTTCATTTTTCAGATGTAAAATGGAATAATGGCTGCTCCAGTTACTAGTTTAGGGTGGGGACTTGAGCATACATAATTATTTCCTCTCCTCCCTAGGACTCAGTTAAAATTTTAGATAAGGTAAAAGGTAAAAAAGTTTAGAAGATAAAAGGATAGTGATTTTAATATTTTTATTTTATTTTATTTTTTAATTTCAGAGAGGAAAGGAGAGGGAGAGGGAGAGAAACATTAATAATGAGCCCTAGCTGGTTTGGCTCAGTGGCTAGAACATTGACCTGCAAACTGAAAGGTCCCATGTTCGATTCTGGTCAAGGGCATATGCCCAGGTTGCCAGTTCAATCCCCAGTGGGGGAGAGGGGCGTGCAGGAGGCAGCTGATTAATGATTCTCTCTTATCATTGATGTTTCTATCTCTCCCTTTTTGTTCCTCTCTGAAATCAATAAAAATATTTTTTTAAAAATGAAACTTCTATGATGAGAATCATCAATCAGCTGCCTTTTGCACACCCCCTTCTGGGTATTGTCCTCTACTATATCAAGACCACAACCCTGGCATGTACCCCTGACTAGAATTGAATGCAGGACCCTTTGTTCTGCAAGCTGATGCTCTATCCACTGAACCAATGAATTTCTGTAAGACAGAGTGCATGGAAGAACACCAAATGGGAGAAACTATAGGTTTAGAATGAAGAGGACCAAGACAGTGAAGATCTGTATATGAAAAGATCACCCTCCATCACTACTCCTCAACTCTGGTGCCAAGAACTCCCTGCAACCAGGTGTTCAGCTACAGACAAAAGCAAAACCAACCAACCAACCAGGAAATAACCAGGGGGACTTTTCTAAAGACAGTGAAGGATCTTTCTGAGGAAACGGGCAGTTGGAGTTGCCATTGTATCCTAGTGCAAAGCCATCTGTATCCTGGCATTTGAGATCCCTTAGAACAATGATCAGTTCTCTGACTATTCACCCAAATGGAAGCCTGCCAATCAGCCAGTTCCAATCATGGGTTTAGAGTTCTAGCCAGCCTTTCTCATGTCTCATTTTTAAGAATAGCCTGACAACTGAGAATCTCCAAATATTTGAGAAAGCCTACAGTATGATGAAGAAAGATAAGTAGAGAAAAACTGACCCCAGAGGAAACAATATAATCTAGGAAATTCAAGAAAAATTATATAAAAACTCTGCAAAACTAATTATAAAGAATATGAAATGATGTAACATTTATTAAATAAGAACATGATGCTATAAAAAAAGGAATCAGAAAATGGGAAGGAACTCTAAGTTAATGAAATATTTAATAGGAGATTGTAAGCTAAATTAGAGAAAATCTCCCCAAACCTGTAGCAAAAATATGTAAAACATGAGAGTATTAAAGTACACACATACACTGCCGGAGCCATAAGGAAAAAGTCTGGTCTCACTTCCTGGTCAGTTCCACTTCCTGGTTGAGCAAGAGCGGGAGACAAAAGCCGGTGTGTGCCAAAACTTTTCCCTCCCATATTGGAATAGCCAACCAGCTAAGAACAGGTACCCACCGCCCAGTCAATCACTTTGTGACAACCCCCACTTTTCCTACCACTCCCCTCCCAGCCTGAGAGCTTATAAACCGTTGTTCTTGAATAAAATTTTGAGGCTTGATCAGAACCCTGTCTTGCCTCCGTTCTTCGCGTTCCTTGTTTGTTTCGTTCTCTTAAGTGGTTCCTGCGTACCCCCGTTGTTGCCCCGCGGGTCGGGGCAATACACATACACACACACACACACACACACACACACGCACACACACACACAGGGGTGGGGGAAGAGATTAATCCAGAGGGGGTCCAATAAGAGAGTAATAAGAATTCCAGAAAGAGCTGAGAAACCAAGGGGAAAAGACATTAAAGAAATGATACAATGAAAATTTCCAGAATGGAAGATGTGAGCTTTCAACCATAAAGGGCCTCCTGAGTTGTGATTAGGGGCAATGGGAAAGGCCACGTATCACTTGGAGGGTTTAGTTCAATAAGCTATACAGAGAAATCCTAAGAGCTATCTTGGGATGGAGGAGTGCAAACTCCTACAAGAAACAAAAATCACGTAGGCATTAGATTGTTATTAGCTATACTAGAAGCAATGGTATATCTTCAAAATTCAGGGGGAAATGATTTTCAACCTGGGAAACGTATGCTTAGTCAAATTACTAGAGACAAATTACTAAAGACGTTGTTAGACATGCAAAGACCGAGCTTATTTGCCATATGCTTTTTTCTTGAGAAGTTATTTGAGCATGTACTCCATCAGTAGACTAACAGAGCAATAACAGGAAGATATTGGATTTAAAAACAACAGATGTGACCAAGAATGTCAGCTGTGTGGGTGACTTAGCCCCCAGCTCATATTTGAGCAAGAATAGGGCTCTAGGAAAGAAGTGTCATAGAACACAGAGTTGGAGGGTCTTGGAGATACAGGCAAAAAATGCACTAAATGAAGAAAAACAACTAGAAAATTTATAAAAGATTCAATACAAGTATGAATCAAATTAGAATTGGATGTCAGTGGTCTACAAAAAGAAAAAAGGGGGAAGAATTCTAAGTAATGGGTAGAATGGGTAATATGGTACAGGTTTCCTCTTTCAACAAGCAAAGAAAACACTAGGAAAAACATCAAGCAATCATGATTTTGAGCAGTTGAGCAGCTCAGGGTTATGACAGGATTACAGAGAAGGAAACACTTCCTGGTTCTGTTGCAAAGGAAAGTTTTCATAAACTTAATGCTGTTTATGGGTTACTGTCTGTTAGGCTCTAACCTAAGGACAAACTGTAGACGACTTAATTATGGATATAGAATGATGTGTAAAGACCCTGAGTCATGGAAACTTAAGAGTAAGAATACAGTTGGCCCTCCATATCCGTGAGTTCTGCACCGTGGATTCAACCAACCGTGAAAAAAAATCCACCCCCCCACTCCAGTATTTTCTATCCGAGTTTGAGAATCTGTGGATGCAGAGGGTGACTGTGCACTGTTCTACACCACTGTTCTACATCCATGAACTTGGGTATCCAAGGGAGATACTGGCACCAATCCCCTGTGGGTCTGAAAGAATGACAGCATAGCTTTACCAAAAGTTTGAAGGTAGAAGCAGAGGTGGGCAGTCTAGCAGTAGGAGCTCA